CTGTCCCCTGGTAACCGTTGGCCGCGCCCGCAACCTGGTAACCGTCCTCCGCTCTGTGTTCTGCGTTGAGGCTGTCTGCAGCTGGGGCGTCAGTGTTTGCTTGGCTTCCCCTCTCCTCGTCGTAGCCTATCGCCTGGATACCTCGGTTGAACGGATCACTGGCTGAGGGTCCCGATTTTTCCGTGTCGTGACCATCTTTTGATAACAATGATCTAAACACAACATAGGGGACATAAGGGACATATAACGAAAGCCAGGAACCACAGTATTCACTCTCTGAATATGGATAGACGAGATAACTAGCCGAAACGTCAGATCAAAAATAAACCTCTCCGGTGAACGCCCATTTTCGTTCTTAGCCTCAAGTCTTACGGGAGACGCGACCTACGAACGTTATATTGCGACCTGTTTGGACAGCGCACCAGTATCTGAAGTTGAATAGTTGATAGTGGTAGTTGAAACGTCAGACAGTTACTTCAAGACTCCTGATGAACTTCTCCTCCTTCTCCCCCCCTGTCCATTTTGTCTATTAGCGTAGAAATCGTGTATTCTCAAATATTAATGTAAAATACTTGGTGTTTGCATGTTTTTGATTGTCTCTTTTGTATTTATAGCTTCTTAATGGCCTTCAAAGTAAAAATTTGGGCACAAAGCTTAACAGGCTATAAAGGCAGTACCTTCGCCGCTTGTTTTCATCCTGGAGGCTGTGTTTATAGTGTCCCCAAATACGCAATATCTAGGCCGTATCAGGCCAATCACTCCAGCAACACAAGGACCTAAAATAGTAATTGTCACGAGGCGGTTTAAAATGCAAAATATACAAAGGCATAAAATTGAATCAAAATATTTTTTTAAGCAGAATTGGCGTTATACAATGTGCTATAAGGAACAAATTCTGTGATCTTTAGAAACTGAAGTGTACTGTGAATACAAAACCCTTCCTGTAATTTCAAAGATAATTGTTTAACTTTGACTGTTAAATAATATATTCGGTTCAGTTCCTTGATATGATAGGATTTCATGACCGAAGTTTATTTTAAATTATCATTACCAACATTTTTATTATTTCTACATCAGGCTCTCTTACAAAATTGTCTATATGAAGAACGTTCTGGAGGTCAGGGATTCCTACTCATCTACTCGGTCGGTTTGCATTTCAAAGGCTCTATAGTCTTCTTTCCAGTGGGTTAGAGGCGCCAACTAATGACGTCTTCCAGTGCCTGTATGGTGAGATAAGATAGGTCTAAGTATCGGTTCCTGGTTATATACAGTTACCTCAAACAAGAAGGATCAGATGACTAACCTCGCGCTCATCCGTTCATTCTCGTCCTAAACCGAACATGTGTATTCCGTCCAATTCTTTGGTTCTCGCAAGGGTTAACTACTGCATGAGTTGGGTGCAGTCGGGTCTTGCCCACTAACTTGCTTATAGCGAAAAAAGTGTGCACTGCAAAAATACCCATGCATTGCTTTACGACAAAAAGTCAAGATAGGTGAGGGTGAAGGGAGTGACGAAGCTTAGGCTAATCACGCGTGCTACACAAAAAGTGACTACCAACTTTCTGCGTAAAAAGCTTCATTTGGCGAATTTTTTGGGTGTCCTGGAAGTGCGAATGCCGCAAATGCAATTTTAAGAAACATCTTATGAGGCCCAACTGTCTATCCTAAATGGATTTGAGTTATCCCATCAATTAGTTTTTTCTAAGCAATGAGTGGTAGCCCGTAAAGCTAGCGAGGATTTTGTAGCAGCCTTGCCAAGCCAATCAAATTT